TGCTTCTTAGGGGTACTGAGATAGTTACTTACTTAGCTGTTGATAGCCTTCCTATACACAAGAAAGCTACTCGTCTTTTTTGGCCAATGTAACATTGCCTTCAGGCAATTCGCCCCATACTCAGGTAAATACTTATCCTAATACAAAATTCCATGTAGATATCAGTCGCACGCGGAGCCGCAGACGGCGGCGGCCGGCAGATTTTTAACGCCAGGTGAGGACGGCCTTGCCGTGGGTCGTCGACTCACAGGTGGCACTTATCCAACACAGTTTACTTTTAGATGAAAAAAATGACTGTGTGCTTGCCGCTCTACACAACCATCCTGCTGAGCCCTCGGCCCCGACACAGGAACCCTTCATGTCGCAAATAATATTCTCGGACTCCATCTGGGAGTTTGAGAACAGTCTGTCTTCACCAGAGTTCCGGCAAAGACTAGTAAGTGATCGAGTACAATAAACCTACATTATCAGGCGGCATACTTGACAACATTAGCTAGTGGCAGCATTCCTAATTACGTGAATAGGATATTTCACACCTTATTCGCCGACAGTAAATGGCGACATCTCAGTTACCGGCTGTCAGCAGGGAAAAAACAAAATTCCTGCAAAAGGATACGTACCCCGTCATCCTGCGTAAGCCTTACTGCTTTTTGTCTCACCTTCCTTCACACAAAGCCAGATCGAATCGCAAACAGCCAACCTGTAGACCGTTGGACCCTTGAATAGGCCTTTGAGGCCATCTTCAAAAAGGCGTATGACTGGAAATTCCGGCGCACCAGTAGGGCCGCTAAACAAAAAGCAACTAGTGGTAGGTCACTGAAAACATTTGGCACGTATATAATAACCTTATATATACACTGCAACTTTACTCTCTTCTTCTCTTTCAGAGTCACAAGGGGCCGAGAACCCGCAGCAGGAACCCGGCCCGTCAAGAGGCCCTTAAGGTCAATGACGAAAATGAAAACCAGAGCTATTTTTGTACAATTTTAAAAAAAATTTAGCATAAAGAAATCTTCTCATACCCCAAAAAATACTTCAGAAGAGTGCTATGTTGTATTTCCAGTTAAGGAGGGTTTTTTAAGCAGCAAGGCGTCCCGCTGTCCAAATTAATTATGAGATACGACATTGCCGTACGACATAACGTACGACTTCGGGTGTCGTATTCGTACGACATTGTCGTGGTGTTGTAAAAAATCGTACGGAATCGTAACTGTTTTGCTATTAGAGTTGCGGACTAAAACATGTTCATGTATGAGCTTATTTCGATTCCGTAATTCCATATCAAATACTGGGTTTGAGTTTCGACTCACAGATATGTGTGGTAAGAAAAGGCCAACTTCTACCGCCTTCGGAATAATATGTCGAAAATTTCAATGTGGTCTGGATACCTGGGCAACAGACGTTGTCCCTCTTGTCTTAGTTACTATAAGTCAGTACTAAGTGCTTTTCATTTTATTGATAATTATTAATGCTTCAGGAGAAAGAACGAGTTACACTAGTTTTAATCATAACTATATTATCTTCACCAAGATTGGTGAGCTAAATAACGACGGCTTTCTTTAACTTGATAAATTGTACAATGTGTAAGCGTACGGTTGCTATGTTTATTTTGAAAACACTTGAAAGTCATATTTGTGCATTGTCGTAAAGAATCTTAGTAGCTGCGGCACATATTGCGCGTCACGTCTCCTTAACTTTTTGAGAAAAGCAAGTGTTTCGCCAATTTTTTCTCAAATAATATATCCCAGTTTATTGTGAGCGTCATTTTAAATAACATTGACAGGTTTGACCGCTCAAGCCGTACACTAATATGTATATATGTTCATATTTCATGTAATATCATCATGTGCATATTAGTATGTACACGCGGGGTTAATTTTTGTTTTTTAATCAAAGAAAACTTTTCGAGAATGTGACACTGTTCAATGCCTAGTTGTGCTATAGCACAACGTTGTGCTATAGCACAACTAGGCATTGAACACATACAGATGTACATCTGTATGTGTGATTGTCCTCAGACTGCCGCATTCGCAACAGTGTATTACAAAAATCTACAAACGTTTTGTCGTAATACTTCGACATTAGTACAGAAATGGTATTGCTAATTAACATTCAGCATTCGCATGGACCTAAAACCTTCAGACCAGTTCCCCTCTGTCGTCAAAATCCATAAACCTACTCAAATTAACTACACTAACCTTCTAACCGAATCGATGAGATGCGGTTATCTTCATAATCATATAGACAACCAGAGCAAAGCCAATCGATTAAGCAATGATATGGTAATTGAAGAATTTGCCAAAAGTGATGAAACGCACAAGGGTGCACATCCATATTTTTAAACTTGGAAAAATATTTGTTTCCATCCCGCAGTCGAGTGATATCGGAATCTAGGTAACATAATTCAAGACCGAACTTAGGAAAATGTTTCTGAACTGTTCGTGTCCAAGACAGTGCCCACCAGCACGCACGACCGTTCGCCGAGAAGTACTCACTGAATGATTTAAAGAAGCCAGATTGTCATGGTGCAAGTCAGCTGCTGATAAGTGGCCTAGAGTCTTTAATATGAAATATTTAACCAAGATGCTTTAGTTCTTGAGATTAGCAACTCCAAAATTGACGTTATTAGCAAATTAACAGTTGAAATAAAAAAGCACAGGTTTACATGCTAATTTCGTATACTGGTCTAGTCCGATTGCCGAAATGAAGTTAGCATTTTTGTTTACCCTGAAATTGAAGTTCTGAAGCTCATGCAGATGATCCCATAGCGACTTATAATAAATAAGTCTCGAAAATTAAAAGCTTATGTGAAGATGACGTTTTCGGTTCTCTTAAGCCTCATCAAGTCACTTTTTATCGAACACAGAGTACACCCGACGTTGGTTGAGATGATTCTACCTTATAGAGCATGCAGTTTTGAGGCCATTACTCCAATAATTGGTTTTTTTAAGAAAAATAAGCCACAAAAGATAAAGTTTCGGCTTTGTGTCACCTTTAATTGGAGACTTAAACGAAAGAGCCTAATTACCTGTGTCCACACGCAACGATCTCTTCATCTACACGAACTGGATCTTATCAAAGGCAGCCTGAGCTTTCACGCGAGGGTGAATTTTATATCAATTACAATGAGAAAAAGTCATTGCAATGTAAATCT